TTTTACCATCTGCTCCAGGAGCTCCACAGAGATCCCCAATAGAACACTTGGGACCCTCAGCCACTGATAGACAAGAGAAACTTGGTCCCCTCAGTTATGTGTTCTATCACTGTGGTACTAGAGAGAAGAGTTTTGCCATTTGTTCTCCATGTACAGTATTAAGATGATATATCTATTAAGGTGCCCATACAGCTTGCAATTATTGTTCGGAAATTAAACACGATCGGGTTTTCGTACGATAATCAGCCAGTTGATGGGAATTGAACAATCAGAATTACTGTACAACTGGCAGAATTTCCTTGATTGGTCAGGCTGGAAAACCTTTTTCGAATCCTACAAAAAATGTGCGATTTCGACAGTGCGATGAGGGCACAAAAGAAATCGAACGATAAACTCAAGGTGTATTGCCACCTTTAAAATGTGGACCTTCTATAACAATTGACGGTGGTTATAATACTTTCATGGCTTTTGTATGTGTATCCCTAAGTGGGTTTTTATTGATTTACTGTTTGTAGTAAATGTTTTATGCTGTGAGTTAATAAAACTCAAACTTTTTTACACATTTATGGTTTTCTCAATGCTGCATCTACAGTTACTCTTGGAGGACAAGAGCTATGAGACACGGTTACTAAGTTTAAATATGTTCACGCTGGAAGTAAGGAGATTAAGGGGGGACATGATTTTCATGTACAAAATGTTCTACAGTCATAGAGACATTAGCAACAAACTCTTTAAGATTAATTCCGTAACAAAGACTAGAGGCCACCACCTGAAACTGGTAGAAAAAAAATTCAAACACAAGGGGCGAAGGGGGTTCTTCTCAGTTCGAGCGGTTAGGGTCTGGAACTCGTTGCCACAAGCAGTGATTTCAGCTAATAGTGTGGAATCGTTCAAGAAGCTTTTGGACAATTTCCTGAGAAACGGTAATATACAAGTACTCCTAATAACGAGATGACTCAGGGACCTATACACACACACACACACACACACACACAATAGGTTGGACTTGATGGACATGTGTCTTTATTCAACCTCAAATACTATGTATATGTAACTATGACACCAAGTATGGGGCTTATTTTATTCTGCGGACACTAATGATGGGACTGCAGGCTGAACTAAAAATTTAATTTTAGAGCCACTTGTGTGCACTTTGAAAATCTGACCTTGGGGATTGGGGGTTTTGTGGAGGCTGGTAAAAGTTTCTTGTGCAAAAAGCAGTAAGCCTTGTGCCTTCATAGATTTTGGATATTACAAGAATTGTCTGAATATAGTAATGTTTGTATGGCGATTAGAATGGGCGCTACTAGTCCCGGGCACCTGGGGCATGTGGCACACTGTACGTTAAGCAGTCCTGAGCCCTGCAGTCTGTGCAATACACACTTAAGTGCATTATGCATTCCTGAGCCCTCTACTTGTAATGCACTCCTGTATTCTGTGCATTACACATTCTTTACCAGTGCACTCTGTGTGTTATGCACTCCTACGTCTGCACTTTGTGCATTATGTACTCCTGCACACTTTTAAACCCTGCTCTTGTGCTGGAGCATATGAGAGTGGACAGTATATGTAGGAGAGGTGTGTGTGAGGTATGAGAAAGGGCAGTCTGTGCAGGAGAGGAGTGTGAGGGCTAGTTCACACCAGATGCAGTTGTGATACAGTCTGTTCAGTTTGGCAGCTGCATCAAAATCGCATCACAATGCTTTCCAATGGGATTTGTGGTGCTCTGTTCACACCAGTGCAGTTCGTTCCGATGCAGTCAGAAAAAACACTGCTCGTCTCATTTTAGTCATTTTAGCTGCACCTGATCGCAACAGAACACATCAAAATGCATCAAAACCGCATGCAAACTGGACTACACCTGGAAGCCCATTTTAAGCTAAAAAAAAAAGCATCAACATTGTGGTAAAAACACATAGGACTGCAGCTGCACAGACACACACAGTTATGGTGTGAACTAGCTCTCAAGGGTATGAAAGAGGACAGTCTATGCAGGAAAGGAGTGTAAAGGGCATAATAACAGCTGGTACGTGCAAGAGAGAAATGCAGAGGATATGAGAAGTGCCAGTATGTTCAGAAGAGGAGTGTGGTAAGTATGGTGATGGACAGTATGTGCAGGAGAGGAATGCAGAAAATATGACAGAAGGCAGTATTTGTAGGAAAGGAGTGCAGAGGGTATGACCACAGGTAGTATGTGCATGGGAGGAATGGGTAAGATAAGGGTGTGTGCAGTGTGTGCAGGAGAGGAAGGTAGAAGGTATGAGAGGACCTAGTATGTGCAGGAAAGCCGTGCAGAGGATATAAGAGGGATCAGTATATGCAGGAGAGGAGTGCTAATTGTATGGGAGGAATGGGTAAGATAAGGGTGTGTGCAGTGTGTGCAGGAGAGGAAGGTAGAAGGTATGAGAGGACCTAGTATGTGCAGGAAAGCCGTGCAGAGGATATAAGAGGGATCAGTATATGCAGGAGAGGAGTGCTAATTGTATAACCATAGGCAGTATGTGCTAAGGAAAGAGTGCAGAGGCTATAAAAATGGCCAGTATGTGCAGGAGAGGAGTGTGGAAAGTATTACAGTGGACAGTATAAGTAGGAGAGGACTATAGAGGGTATAAGAGGGGCACAGTATGTTCAGGGGAGGAGTGTGGAAAGTATGGCTGCGGGCAATACTGTATACAGTTGTGTAAAAACGTAAGTACACCCCCTATGAATTCTATGGTTTTAAGTATCAGGACATAATAAAAATCATATGGACGCCAGGGACCACCTCACAGAAGTTTGGATAGTAATAGATATTAACATTTTAGAAGTAAAAAACAAAACACCAGAGGATTGTTGATCCAGGGCATATACCATTGCCTTATGGCATCAGGAAGGATTTTTTTCCCCCCTGATGGAGCACATTGACCCATGCTTTATAGCATTTTTTGCCTCCTCTGGATCAACTGTGGGCATAGGGTTGTGTTTTTGGGAAGTTTTGTTTTTCTCTTCTCTACATGTTGAACTTGATGGACTTGTGTCTTTTTTCAACCTGACTATGTAAATAAAGGGGGCGTGGCCTGGCAACCTTTTTACCAACCTCTTTAACAAGGAGCCCCTCTTGGGGAATTGTCAGTGAATGTTTGGAGGACTGCCGGACAGATTGATCAAGTGTCACTGAGAGAAGGAAGTTGCCCTTTCTTAAAGTGTTGTTCGTTGGTTATGCATGTAATGATACATGCCCCTTGAAATGTCAGTTTCTTTGCTGTTATTATTTTAGAGTTTTGATTTATTTGCACGTTTTTTTTTGAGTATTGGAGGGCCACCACAGAGCCCCTCCTTCTTTTTCAAAGTTTGTTCACAGCTTGAATTAACATCACGATTTAAATTTTAGTTTTCTGTGTTGTTTTACTACACCGCTAGCCAGAGGTTCACGTGTTTAAAATATACATGCCGAACCAATGAGGTTGATCACTGGCACTAATTCTGAAGGTTCCAGTGTTGATTTTTATTATTTGTATTATGTTTGTGTGTTGAACCTTCTAGTCATATGTAAATAATCCACTTGCATCAATTTTTTCACACGGATTGTTGTAATTTTACACAGATTTGTTTATTAACACTTTAGTGTGTAGTTGGTTCACATAGACCGAGCGCAACATATTTGCTTTACAATTTTTTTAAATAATTCTTAATTTTTTGTAAAACAGGAATATCTATACAAAAAATATTGCACATAGTCAGTAAAACAATACCAATCGAGGCTCTCAGTGTGAAGTGCTAGTAACAGGTATCAGTAAACAGTAGCAAAAAGAAACAAAAAATCATAGATCATATCAGAAATAGGTGTCATGTGCATCTCTACCTGTGCTGCCCGAAACAGGACGAATACTTGGGCGTCTCTGCATATCGCCACGCGAGCATTTTAATAGGGGATCTGGTCTAGTGAACAGTGAATAGTGACGATAGGCAGCCAAACTCAGTAGGAGACTGACTTGAGGCAACCGGTATTTAGTAACCCCTCAACATCTGGATGTAAGGCACCTACGTTGATCAGTTGGGCGAGGTAACATGAGCACAGAGGACAAACATGGGACAAGGGTGGGACAAGTAGTTAAGAGTAGTGGTAGAAATGCAGAAAAAAGCAGTGAGTGAATGAGTGAACTCTCTCCCATTGGGTCAACCATCCCCAAGCACTCAGGACACCTGGGGGTCGGTAGACGGGTCTGACTCAATACGCGGAGATAGGAGACCATACTTTGCAACAGGTATCATGTGTTTCCTTGGACGACGCAGTCAGATCCTCCATTCTCCAGATCTTGTTAACCTTACTCAGCCACATGCTTACCGTAGGGGGCCTGGGGCTCCGCCAGAGCACCGTAATGCAAGCTTTCGCCGAATTAAGCATATGTGGCAATACAGATCTCAAGTATGTCCGTTTCGGTATCGCATTGTGATGCAGAAGGAAGAATGCTGGGGTCAGTGGAATATCCTGGTCAGTAAATGTGGGTAGCAGCGACTTGACCACCTCCCAATAACCCTGGATTTCTGGGCAAAAAATATGGAGCATGGTACCCTCGGTCTGGCCGCATCGCCAGCACTCAGGCGATGGCTCTTGCATAATTCTATGAAGGGCAGCAGGGGTCCTATACCAACGTGTAAGAATTTTATAATTGCACTCCTGGATTCTGGTGCATCTGGAGGTTTTGTGGGCAAGGTAGATCATTTTTTCTTTTTGGTCTGGTGTGAACCGGAGCTCCAGTTCGCTTTCCCATTTGTCGAAGTATGGTGGGACGCTACGCCCCGGGTGGGGATCCAGCAAGGAATATACTATAGATACTGCGTGTCGGAGCGGTAGGCCGGGTTCGCACTCTCCCTCAAATTCCGTCAGGGGCCGGATTAAAGTCCTGGCAGGTGGCAATGACCTGAGAAAATGGGACAGCTGCACCCTTTGCCAGAGGGTTCTACTGATAAGTGCCCTAGCGTTGCCCAGGCATTATTCCTGATAAAATGCTGAGCCTCACGGATGTTGACCTCATTTAACACTCGAAAACCAGGGTCTTCCATTCCAGGTGTGAAACTAGGGTTGCCTAGAATTGGAAACAAGGGTGTGGGAGCTGGGGATATACCCTCTACTGGAAAGAATTTGCGACATATGGCCCAAGAGGAACCTATGGTGGGATGGTTTTTCACCAAGGTTGGGATCTCAATTCTACACCAGGGCAGTGCTGACAGAGGAAGTCCAGTAACGGACTGTTCGAGTCCACTCCACTGTTTAAGTGGGCCATGACGACACCAATCGATCACGCTCGTGAGATAGCACGCAGCGTGGTATCTAGTCACATCGGGAAGGCCAATTTCACGTGGCGTTTATGCATGCGCAGGATCGATGATTTGATCCTAGGTGGCTTGTCTTTGAGCAGTGGAGGGAAGTTCAGGCAGAAAGTGTGGGAAAGGTCCGCTGGGATATTAGTGCCCAGATATCTCAGTGACTCCGTAGCCCACCGAAATGGGAAGGCAGCCCACAGGCCAGGGAGGAGGAAGCCAGGGATGAATACATTTAGGGCTATGGATTTCTGGAAGTTAATGAGCCAGCGCCCCATACTTCTCAAATTCCTGCATTAGGTTTGGTAGGGAAACAGTAGGGTTTGCAAGGATGAACAGCAGGTCGTCGGCAGAAGCTGCTACTTTGTGCTTACCTCCCCCACCCACGTCTACCCCCTCAGTAGCACAATTAACTCTGACTCTGCGGAGTAAGGGCGGTGTGGTCAATTTTAAAGCTTGACATGTTTGGTGTCTATTTACCCGACGTGACCAGCTCTTTTATTTTTACCAAAAAATTGGGTAATAATAAATGTTTCATAGGCGCATGCGCGGCGCGCTGGATGGGTGACGTGCCTTAAGGCTGCTCCGCTCCTCGCCGAGTCTCAGGGGAATCTTAGCACGGCAACATCAGCCCAATCGTCAAACCGCGCATACCGGCAGACTTGGTGAGAACCAGTGATCACAGCCATGTCGACCGCTGTTATTAGGGTATTATTCATATAGGGATTATGTATGCATGTGATGAACATAAGTGATGATTGATTTTCTATATATACACATTTGTTCAGTATGGGAATATACGCAATGAGATTAGAACCGCGGCCCCCAAAACGAAACTTCGGAGCCACAATATCAAAGAAGCCCTAACGGGCTCTTCTTCCAAGATGGCGCTGTGACGGACCCCCGTACTCAGGATGAGTATGTCCGCCGCTGTCTTCTTCCTTGCTGAGGAGATATTGGAACCTGAAGATCCTTAGCTCCCAGTTTCCCCAGTCACTAGCCAAGGCTCAGTGTAGGTGAAACAAACTCTGATTTATTGAGCAACTGCACAAACTTTTATACAGCAAGTGATGAAATCAGAATATAATCCCATCACATCCACCTCCCCTCCTCCCAGACCATCGGTCTGCTCAACACCACAGGTGTCCACCTGCTAACGAACTCCAGACAGCCATAGCAGGAGCCTGGCCAGAATGTCATTGTTCTGAGCTCCCTCAGAGTACAATGGGAGATAACGAGGGATGGTGCTGATAGTCTTTCCATAACCAGGTCACACAGCATAACGCACTCAAACATAACTCAATACCAATACACATTTAACTTAACCAATACACATAAACTGATCACCATGTCGTCACAGGCGCCGACTCCCACTCGCTCTAATGCAGCCAAGAGAGACTCCTCCCCCCCTCCTCCACACTCAGATGGAGATGACACAGGCAGCAGGGCCAGCTCCCCCTCCCCTACCAGAGAGCACTCAGGCCACAGAGAGCTTTTACAAAAGATTGATCGAATGCTGCAAAAAGCACTGCAAAGCACTTCCAGGCAAATCACAGACAAGCTAACAAAAGAAATCCGAGACCTGGGCCACAGAACAGCTGAACTGGAATCCAGAATGGATGACGTTGCCGCTTCACTGAATACCCATGACCGTGAGTTAGACACCATTAAAGATGAAAATCGGCAATTGATGTCTAAACTAGAGGACCTTGAAAACAGATCCCGCCGCACTAACCTGCGGATCCGCGGTATTCCAGAATCAGTGATAGACCTTCAAGCCTTCACTACAGCCCTCTTTCAGGAGTTAACACCCTCTATCTCACACGACAGGCTTGAATTTCAACGCATCCACCGCGCCCTAACACGCCGCACGAGAGACGGCCCGCCAAGAGACAATTCCAGTATTACCACACCAAAGAAGCTATCCTACAAGAGTCCAGGAAGAAGGGAGCCTTATCCTTTCAGGACCATACTTACCAGGTATTTGCGGATCTTGCCCCCTCCACTATAGCCAAGAGAAGAGACCTGAAGCCAGCTCTCCGTTACTTGCAGCAATCTGGGGTCACTTACAGATGGGGCTTCCCTTTTCGCCTTCTTTTCACTCACAAAGGGCGCCAACACCAAGCCACCACACTAGCGGAAGCCATGGACCTAATCAGTGAAAGCAGCAGACTCATGATCTCATCACCCTTCTACCTCAGATCCGCAAGGCGCACAAAGCCTACTTCACCCTGCAACCGCCAAATCACCTCTACCCCCAACGACATCGGAGGCGTCTTGCTTCGGGGATATCAGACTCGGACTCAGCCAGGTGACAATATTGCTTGGCTACCACGCAAGGCCTTTTACCCCTCTTTGTCTACCATTAGGGCTTCTGAAAATCACTCCACTGAGCGGAACTTGATATCTGCTGTTAATGGTTTGATATGGACAGTATGCTTTAGCTATATTTTGATAATCACACACATGGGTCCACTCCCTTTAACTTTAACTTTATCTAATTGAAGGGTTCTTAAAGTTGTCTATTGTCGGACCCTTGTCCATGTGCATTATACCCCTATGTGCCCTTCCTTAGACATAGATTGTGAACCAAAGTCATAATGTTCTCTAGTCCCTGACATGGGCCCTTAACATAGACTGGTTGAACCTTAATTTGCAGCGCCACTAAGTATGACCTCACTCTGTTATATATCCGATTATTGGGGCCGTCCCATCAAATTTTACTCTAATAACTGCCTTATCCTTGAGCTCCTTGTTCCGCCTATCAGTGAGGCTATTCACAACATATTATGAGACTTACCCCTAATGGTTGGAATATATTTGTTATTAACGTTAATATAATGGTTTTGTTACTCATTTTACAGCTAGATAGATTTATTTATTTGTCACATACATAATCGTACAAGTATGATATGCAGTGAAATGCTTACACGACTGCAAGAAGGAGAGTGAGAACAAGTAGAGAGAAGAATCAAGAATAATATAAGACTTTTACATCACAAAATAAAATATCAATGTTAAAATTTAAATATTAAAAATTAAATTAGACTAAAAATGCAAATACAGTATGAAGTGTAAAGTGTGCGAGTGCTAACAGCAGCAATATGGAGTGAATGAATTAAGGTGATGACCAGCAGTGTATTGACCTTCCTTTGACCATTCTTTTTAAAGTGCAGATATGCAGTAAATGTGAGTGTAAGAACATTTACCTAATCAGGCAGTAGAATGTATGTCTATATAGAGATCTGATTGAGAGACCGTATAGCCTGAGGGAAGAAGCTGCTCCTCAGTCTCTCACGATCTTCCTGGCCTTGGTCCAGCACCGCTTGCTGTAGATCGAATCCAGGTCAGGGAGTTTAGTTCGGATGATTCTCTCAGCTGATCGCACCACCCTCTGAAGAGCTCGTCTGTCCTGCACGCTGCTGTTCCCAAACCAGGTAGTGGTGTTTCCCATCAGGATGCTCTCTATGGTGCAGGAGTAAAAATTCCTAAGCACCCTAGCGGGCAGTCTAAAGTCTCTCAAGCGTCTAAGATGGAAAAGACGCTGCCGAGCCTTTTTCACCACGGTGTTGATATGACAGGACCATGACAGGTCCTGCGAGATGTGTACGCCGAGGTATCTGAAGCTATCCACTCTCTCCACTGAGCTCTCGTTGATCATGGGGGTCTGGTAGTTCCTCTCCTGCTTTTTACTAAAGTCCACTATCAACTCCTTTGTCTTGCTGACATTGAGGAGGAGGTTGTTCCTCTGGCACCAGTTCTCCAGATTCCTAATCTCCTCCAGGTAGGCCATCTCATTGTTGCCGGTAATCAGTCCAACCATAACGGTATCATCAGCAAACTTGATGATGGTAGTGGAGTTGGTAGAGGCCGTGCAGTCATAAGTGTACAATGAGTACAGCAGGGGGCTCAAAACACAACCCTGAGGGGCTCCAGTGCTGAGGGTGAGGGAGGCTGATACATGTCTGCCCATTCTTACTGCTTGTGGTCTGCCAGTAAGAAAGTTGGAGATCCACTGACACATAGATGGGCTAAGTCCCAGGTGTTTCAGCTTGGTGGTGAGTATGGAGGGAATTATAGTGTTGAACGCTGAACTGTAGTCAACAAACAACATCCTGACATAGTTGCCCTTTCTAGTGTCTAAGTGACTGAGTGATGTGTGAAGGAGATGGGTAATGGCATCTTCTGTTGAACGGTTTGGCCGGTAAGCAAACTGTAGTGGATCTAGTGTGTCTGGTAGTGAAGAGATGATGAAGTCTCTGACCAGTCTCTCAAAGCACTTCATCACTATTGAGGTCAGAGCCACAGGGCGGTAATCATTGAGGGAAGCAGGATGGATTTTCTTCGGGACTGGAACAATGATGGACTTTTTAAAGCACGTGGGGATTACCGACTGGTTTAACGAGAGATTGAATATTACTGTGAACACAGGTGCTAGCTGGTCAGCGCAAGCTCTGAGGACACGACCTGAGATTCCGTCCGGTCCTGCTGCTTTCCTGGTGTTCACTCTCCTGAAGGCTCTCCTCACGTCATGCTCGGAAATGACGAACGCGTTCCCAGAATTGGCATTTTCTTCCTGTCTGCAGCTGTTACCGTTAGCTGCAGCCTCGAAACGAGCGAAGAAGGTGTTCAGCTCGTCTGCCAAGGACCCGTCTGCATTCATCATGCCGGATGTTGGTGCTTTATATTCCATCATTGTCCTTAGTCCCTGCCACAGGCTTCTAGAGTCACTCTGTTGGAACTGTGCCTCCCGTTTCCTTCCGTAGCGCTGCTTCGCTTCTTTTACCGCTTTTCGGACCCTGTACGACGCAGCCTTAAACGAGCCCATATCCCCCGACTCAAGTCCCGCATTATACGCCGTGGTACGAGATCTCAGAGCATCGCGGATGGTCTTATCCACCCATGGCTTCTGATTGGGAAACATTCTGATGGTCTTTTTCGGTATGATGTCATCTACCAGTCT